ATATATGTAATATAATAATATAAATATAAATATATTTATAAAATATATAATAATACAAATAATATATATATATATATTATATGTATTATATAATATTTATATATATTTATATTATATATTATATATTGTACATATAATATTGGTCGACCCTAGCTTTTGAATGAAGAAAAACCCTTTTTTAAAACCGCGGTGCTTTTTTAGAATAGAGAGAAGAAAAAGAATGTGCCACTCCCCCCCCCCCCCCCCCCCCCTCCCTTCCCCTTTTAGGGTTCATGCACATGCATGCGTGAGGGTGACTCCAATGCCCGGTAGGATAAGGGTATGGCAGTGTGATGTATGCAGTTCGAACCAACAAAGCAAGTGGTGTGAGGTAAGTTGGTTGAGCCTGGGTTGGGTTGACCCCCTCTCGAACAACCGCGTGACCTCGCGTGAGTCGCTTCGCGGATAGGTATGTCCAACTGTTAGATGATTTTAATGCGATGAAGACATGGACTCGAGCATCTACCTCACCGCGGGTTGAGTTTGTTGGATAGGCTCGGGCTGTTGCCCTCTTAGATCAATAACGAAAGCCCTCTAGCTATCGAGCAACGTGGTTTGGACACAGGCCCTTCTCAAAACTTAACACTTCACCTCGACTCTATTGGAATTCAAATGAAAATGCTCCTCTTTAGTGGGATTTGTGAGTGAGTGGCTCTGGAATTTAGGATAGGGTGGTTGAAGGGACGATAAAAAGAAGGAAGGAAGGAGTGTGCTTTTTACAACTTGAGCAATATGAAATCTGGTGGTTAGAGTAGTGAAAGGGTCATAACTCTAGATAAACCTAACTCAGGATGGCCTCACCCGAGTGACGGAGTGCAAGAGAATCAATATCTCTTGCGACTCGTCTCTATTGTATAGAATGAAGGTTAGAGTAGCAATCAGAGAGTTAGAATCCTAAAGCGTTATCTCAGGACAACCCCAAGTTGAGTGCTCAAGAAATGAGAGAAGAAACCGACAAAGAGATAGACAAGGCCGTTAGACAAGCGGGTGTGTCTAGGCTAGAGGCATGTCCGGATGTGTAGAGTTTGGGGCGTCTCTGGGTTAGGGGCATGCCTGGGTGCATAATGGACTTGGGGTGTGTTCTACCCTAGGTGCACATCCATGATTCCCTATGCATGCACATGAGAGAGAAGGGTTAGGCTTGGGTCAACACTATAGTCTAAGGTTTAGGTGTATGGTGTATGATGTAGAGATAGAACTATGGTGTATGGTGTAGGGAAGAGCTATGGTGTATGGTGTAGGGTTTAAGGAAGGGACAATGGTGTATGATGTAGGGAAGGGACCATGGGGTATGGTGTAGAGAAGGGGTAAGGACTATGGTGTATGGTGTAGGGAAGGGGTATTTCCTCTCTTTACCAAATGTTTCTCTCTCCTCTCCACTTGATCTTGAACTTGAAAGTAAAGCAAAAAAATAAGCTAAGAATTTACTTTAAAATTCTCAGGTGTCCTCAAAATGATCAAGCTCAATTACAAGTGACTTGGGTTTCTTTATATAGTGCAACTACAAAATAAGGGTGAAATGCTCAAAAGTACCTAAAATTGTCAAAAAATACGCAATTAATCAATTAAAATAATAATCCCATTTTTGACCAAATGATCAAAATACCCCTAAGTACTTTTCAACAAATAATAAAACCATCCCTCCACGAGGGACCTCTTGCCATTGCTAGACTTCAGGAGCTTTTTCGGATGCTTGTGGTGGTAATTCGGGTAATCAATCATCGTAGATGCTTGAATGATACATGTTTCGATACCCTTTGATCGTCTTGAAACATATTTTTTAGGAAGAACAAAAAATCCGGTCAAATC